TTAATTGTTGTAAATTAAAATTGTGAATTCATAATTCAAAAATTAGAGTGGAAAATTTCAAATTAAACCACAAATTATCAAGAAAATACAGAGAAAAAATTGAGGCAAACATGAGTGAAAATGAAAGATGTCTGAACACTACTATGCCAAATTGAGAAGTGAAGATATAGAGGGAGTCAGCTGCACCAGGAGGATGTGTCACACTCCTATTGCTAGCAAAAGTGCTCTCTAGTATTTGTGTTATAAAAATTGGAGAATTTCTTATCATACTGCTTTGGGAGCCAATAACTGCAGCACAGTCAGAGAAGCATGGCTTGGTTTATAATGCAAACTGGCAGTACAAGTTCCACAGGTTAGGTGCATCCATGCTATGCTCCTTCATTAGTGTTTGTCAGGGTTTACATTGTTGCATGTTATGTAGTACCAATACTAGGTCAGAGTCCTTCAGTTACTCTTCCAAGAGCTCCTGAAATGTTAGTCTTGGCATCCATCCAACAAAGGAATCTCCTAGTTCACAACTTCCTTTGCCATGGCAGAAATGACTATGATTTCAACTCCCACATGACATTCTGGCTCAAGACATTCTACAAACAGACAAGATCTCCTGTGCAATGTGATTAGCCATCTGCATTTCCGTGTTGCAGGCCCAGGCAATGCACTATGGCAAAGTCCTATTCTTGCAATGTTATTATCCAACATGCTATCATTCCCTCTGGGTTTCTAAAGATCAGTAGCCACTTTATCGAAGCATGGTCAAGCTGGATGGTGGACCTCATACCACACAAATAGCATTTTACAAAGACCACAACAGCAAAAGGTTCTTTCTTCAGCACACAGTTTCTACATTCAGCAGTTGTTAAATATGACTATTATCCACTATTATATGTTCTACTCTGTCCTGGAACTGTAATAATAACCCCTAACTTCATTGTTACTGGCATCACCATCCAACTGCTTTATAATGGATAAGCTACAATGAAGCATCAACAAAGTAAGCTTTAGAGGTTGAAATTCCCCCCCCCCCACCAACACACACACACTCCTTTCTCAATCCAAAGTGCACCTTGGCTTTAATGAGAGCATGCGTTAGTGCTGCTATCTTAACGAAATTGATCACAAATTAATGGTAATATGCCTAGTCTGAAGAGACTTCAAAGCTTTCTACAATGTGAACAAGAAAATCTATTTTTGTGCACTTGAACAAGCAGTTTCTGGGTTTCAGTTTCAAGACTGCTTTATATATCTGCCGGTATACCATTTCAAAGTTCTTAACCACAGACTGAAATGCATGACCAAACACCAAAACACTGTAAATTTAGATCAAGTATATCTCCCACTGCAGTCACTTCAACATAAGCTCCATTAGCCTCTTGAAAGTGGCAGGTACAATTCATTGATTAAATGGCATGATGCAGAAGTTATACAAGTTATCTTTCATGCAGTCTTACATCTGCTCTCATCATTCAGCTCATCTTGCCAGTATACTTATACCATATGCACAGTTTTGAACCAAAGGAAACCTTCTAGCATATTCAAATATTCAAGGTAAAGGAATGGTGCCAAAATGGGTTATCATGCACACACCCATCTAAAATCAACATAGAATCTCAGTGTACTTTTTGTTCCTACTCACAATCACTAATGGAGATGAGTGAACACTCCTCCTTTCAACATCCACTATATTTCAGTGTTGGTGATGCCCTTAGTACTTCAGAAAAGCCAGATTAGTGGCTGCCTTATTGGATGAGTATCACCTGTATCTATGTTGTGCTGAGTCTCTGTTACCTGGCCTGATTGGCCAGCTGTTCCCACAGATGCATTAGAATATTCAACTATAAATCACCAAATAGGTTTTGCTGCACTCCATCTAGATTGTTTGCATAATCCTTCAACAAAGATCTACAATGTGTTGGTAGCTGCATACTCACTTTTGGCCACAGTGCCATGGATGCAACCCTAGTGTTACCATTAATATCAGATATTTTCACTTCATTTACCACAATTATCACCATTCCAGTTTACAGCTAGATAGCCAATCGCCAATAATTACAAAACAACATCTGTACTTCATCCCTCATCAGACAGAGGTACTTATATTACTCCTTCTACCGAAATTTGTGCAATCCACTGTTCCCAGACTAGACTTGGAGGACATTCGATAATTCTTCTGCAGAACATCAGTTCACCCATTGCACATAAAAACTGGACCACGTTTATGCCAAAACTACATAGAATCAGATTAAGTGAAACTTAAATAAAATTCCTAAATCAATTTGGTAGAAATGCATGATATGCTTACATATTGCACCCCTATGCCTAGATAATGTTCTTGAGTCAGTTCCCATCTGTATTAATTGTATGATCCAAATTATGATAACCCAAACAAATCACCTCACATTTATTATAATGAAAGATCACTTGCTATATATTTGTCTAACTAGCCTTATGATCCAAGTCATTCAACAGCACCTCAACATCTTCTATAGAGCTAGAAGTACCCAAAAGTTTATTAATTTACTAATTATGCCCTTATCAAAATCACTGATGATTTAAGAAACACATAGATTCAAGAAGTCTTAATATAAAATGATAAAAACCCTATAACCCAAATGCTTTCCAAAGGTTGACCTTTCTCTTTTTGGGGTCCTTGAAGAAGAACAGTTTACCTTTTGAAAGTACTCAGGTTATAGGACTTTTTATCATTCAATAAGACTGATGTAAGCAAGAAAAAAACAAAGGTAGATGCAATGACCCCTGAGGCACTTCACTAAAGAGGGTTGAGTATGTTATATTAAAATGTTTTTAATAAGGAAATCAGCAAGTCATGACAACCACAACCAATATAAAGTCACAATGGAATTGCAGGTATCATGAACAGGTTCATAATAGGGTTTGCAAGGAATTGCACAAAACCCTAATAGAACATTTGAACAAAAAGCACCTTAAATAGTAAATATTCAATTCAAACAACACTTTAAAATCTTCACTATTGGCTGCTAAAACTGTACACATATAAAAATGCACAAAAAAGCACACTTGTTACACTATACAAGGAAAAGATAGTCCACTCAAAATGGCCCAATTGTAATTTTCATTCTTCTTCTTATTCATATTATTATTTTCTTGCTAATCTACAACAAAAACAGCTTGGTATATTACATCCAAACACTAAATAAGGTACTGTGAAGGTCTTAGTAGTATTAAAAAGTCGATTTGTGTTTTCTGTATTTTACATAAGCTAAAAAAACTTCATAATTCTAATCCAAATGATGTTATCATTACCTCTTGAAGTTACCTTTCTTACAAATATCTGATGTTCTTTTAAAAGGTTGAAGTACAGGGTCAAACAGAATTACCAACCAACAATAGATGACTGTAACACGTAGATACTCAATGTTTTTTACACTATACAATCAGTGTCTTTAGGTAGCCAACTCCTATATTATGTACCAAGTGAAGGAGTAAAAAAAAATCAATACCCATAATATTAAATTTTATTACACACCTTCTTGAATAATCACTTTAAAAGACACAAAGGTTTATTTAAAGCAATGTTTTAGACACATATGTTTTACTTGAAAATCCTGCTTTTCTACTTGTACATTTTTCTTACTTGCTTACTGACTCCACCAAATGTAATTCTAGGTAACATCATGGATCCAAAATAGGGATTTGAATTTTGAGTAAATAATGTCTACAGTAACTCCAGCCTTGTTTCCTTACTTTTTTACGATCCCTATTTGCAGGTTTTTAAAGTCCCAATTTTTAGTCATGGCATAGAGGCACATAGAATGGCTCTGAGTTATTTTTCAAGTACAAACTTTTACAGGCTCAGCATGGCCAGTTGGTTAGGGTGCTTGACTCGCAATCTGAGGGTCGTAGGTTTGAATCCCCGTCACACCAAACATGCTCGCCCTTTCAGCCGTGGGGGCATTATAATGTGACGGTCAATCCACTATTCATTAGTAAAAGAGTAGCCCTAAATCAGAGACGGCTAGCACAAATAGCCCTCGTGTAGCTTTGCACGAAATTCAAAACAAACAAACTTTTACCTCACAACTTCATCATTTCTTGACTGATTTGAGATCTAATTATAGTTTTGGATTCAGGAGGTCAAATCCTTTTGATTGATGTATTGGACCACGCCCAAGGTCTTGTAGATTAATTTACTTTAATGCTGCCTAAAAGAATTTCGATTTGAGGCTAAGCTGGTAAAGATCCTGATGAGTAATAAAACTGAATCAGGTACACTTGTGTCCCATGCTGGTGCAAAAAATTATAGCTGATAAAAAGGAAAAAAAGGTCTCTAACTTATTCTAATCTTGCCTCAAAAAATTTCAAGTGCCACAGTTATTGACGATTCCCTCTTGTTTATATATTTTGTCAGAACATTTTGACATTGTATGGCATTTTATGGATAATGTGATGTCTTCAAAAACTGATCACTTTTGGGAAGAGTATGTAACAGCCTTTTCCAACCAAGATACTTGTACACTCAGATAATAAAGATGCACAGATTAGGCATTTAGAATGTCTAAAACAGGAATATCAAGCATTAGAAAACAAAGTAATATGAATCAACTTGGAGAACCAAGACTACCCAGAAAGTGACATGTAACAAGTATTACTTATTCTTTTCTGTTATATAATTTTACAAGTTCTAAACTACATATTATAGTTTCCATGCCAGTGTTAAATTACATTTTTATAGAACAAGAACAATTCACTACTAATTGTTGTTTTTTAAATAAAACATATTTTATTTTCCCAGTATTATTCTAAATAAAAGCTGACCCATATTGATCACTACAAGTTTAAATTTTTGAAGGATAACTTATAAGAACTTAAATTGTAACATTTAAATGTAAAAAAAATTAATATTTCTGTCTATTCATTACGTTTAAAACTCCTACAAAGGCCAAAGTAAAACTGTTTTACAGAAAGTAATATAAATGGATCAAATTACTATGTTGCTTTTCAATTATAACAACTTTTCTTACCTGTTTTGAGCACTAACTTCTTCAAGCATTCTGCTATGCAATAATTTTATTTCAGTTAGCAATTCAACGTCCTGTTGTAGTTGCTTTTGTGGCTCATCAAATATTTGGTCTAAGCCTTCTCGACTTTTCCTAAATTTTTGTGAAATAATCACTATAATATTAATAATACTTTCATCATTATTCTTACGTTAAAATTAGGGTAACACATGTATAAATTTTCAATAACACAACTGTATTAAAGAAAAAAATAATGTTTAATAGTACATAAGAAATATTTAAAAATAAGACTGTCCCAATCTCAAAATACAATAAAAGATTTTGTTTTACTTAATAACTTACTGTATAAAAATAAAATACAGAAGGGTGTTTCATTGTTTACTAAAGTACCTGTGGAAAAAGCTATTGCCTGTTTTGAGAATAAATGAAAAGAAAATAAGAATTTGGTTTTAGAAATAATGGATATGATTAACCTTGATGAAGCATTTGATAAAAATTCACATTTATAAACAGAATGAAAATTTAACTGTGGGTTACCCATTATTATTTGATTTATTCATTGACAGTTTTGAAGCTGAAATGTTAAGAGAAGCAGAAACAAAACTGGAAATTTGGTTAAGGTGTGTTGATGACAAATTTTTGATATGGAAAAAGAGGAATTAACCATTTCTGCTAATTACTTTAATAACATTGACAATTCTATTAAACTTGCAAAAGAATTTGAAGAAAACAACTATTTATCTTTTTAAGATGTTTTAGCAAGTATCTTCTGTTTATAGAAAACCATTCTCGGAATTATGTCACCACATTAAAAATCTTGTCCCACTAATACTAAAAAAAATCACTAATTTTTATTCTTAAGTGTATAGAATTTGAAAATTATGTTATAAGCAGGAAGATACTGAGTTATTATTAATCAATTATGCAGTAGTAGCAAGTAGTTTTAATCTTGATATTGCTGATAGAAATGTCAAGAAATTTAAAAACACAGATAAAATATTCTACCTGGTTTATCTTGTCAAATAATGCAGCAATTTAGAACATAACAACAAAATATATTTCCAATATAGAGACCATTGCACAAGGTTAGCCAATTTCTTAATCTAATTAAAGATAAAATTGATTTAATGCAAAAAACTGGTATATGCAAAATAACACATATGTGAAAATACTTATATATAAGAAACTAGAAGAAATTTAAAATATAGAATAAAAACAAACACAAAATAAATGTTCAAATTAATAATACAAAGACATTGCCTTTAGCTGAACATACTAATCAAACTAAACATTACTAAATAGGAAAGAACTGTTATTTTAGCACAACCTGCAAACATTAATGGTAATAATATCTATGATTCTACTGAAATAATCATCAAGTGTAATAAAAATGAATTCAAAGTATTAAATAAGGATAAGGGAGAAGAGGGAAATGTCATTAATAGATGGTGTGAATGAAATTCTTTAAGTTAAATTTGTATGTAAATTTGATCGTGTGGTTTTTGACAAAAAAAGTATATATATATATATATATATATATA